AATCCCGGTAAAGCTAACGGGGTAGCGGCAGGGGTGGCGACTTTAAGTCAGTCAATTCGCGTTCAACTGAGATCTTTACTTGTGAAAGTGTGTCCAACTTGTCAGTTAATTCATTCTCTCGATCCTGTAACGATGGAGCTTTGCACGTTGGAATTTTTGTGGGTGTTACCCTGTTGGAATTATCCGTGACAAAGTCAAGTCTACGCTTTCGTGACATCGAAGTGTCGTTGTCGGTGTCTACGTATTCTTTGGTCACAGAGGACTTCATCGTTGGGGATTTCCCGTCCACCACGTGTATTTGTAATTTCAGTGTCCCACTATTTGAGCGCACTATGTTGTCAGTGAGTAGAAGCTTAAATCGGTCATTCCGTGGTAAATTCACATTTTGGTTTTCATCATCGAGTACTTGAATGCATGTTGCTCCCATCCGACCGAGGTATTCAATTTCTTTGTTGATTAGCCCAACAAAATCTTCGAAAGACATCTGCTGTAACCGAGTTTCAGTGATGTAAATTGGGGTGATTCGTACACTTCCATAGTACATATAATGTACTTTGATTAACATCTCCGGCTTGTGAATTTCCATCATCTTGAATTTGTCTGGCACAACTGGCAACCTACCTTCCGCATGTGTGGGAACGAACTGGGAATATTTTATCTGTTATGCAAATTAGCAATAATATTAAAGATATTGGCCAATCAGTTTATTTGTACCGAGCCGCCATGGTGTCTATCGAAATGAACAAGCCTTGCTACATTTGAATTTTGTTGTTGTTGACCTGTCAATTATGCCTTTGATAATTACCGGGTTGTTGCCAACATTTTGAACAGATGAAGTAAATTTCAAAACAAACTGCCTGACCAATTGTAACGACTTATCAACATCTGACTGCAGTTCTTTGTGTAATCAAGGGGTGAAAGGGGTGTAACTAACTTTTTTCAAAATTGTTATAAACTTTTAATAATTTACAGTTGTTATACCTCAATTTTATTGTACGTTTCTTGAGATTTTTACATGTGTAAAACACGTTGGATATTTACATAAAATTGTCTGACGAATGCTTATGACATAAATTTCAATTATCTTTAGAGGTTTTTAATGAAAATAACCAGTAAGAGAAGCCATTGAAATTACCTTGTGGTTAGCAGCTATTTGTGCTTTGACATCAGACAGGTTGTCATGGAGATTTCTTGTTCCACTACATCCTGGTAATTTCCCTGGTGCCATTAATTGTTCTATCAATGCTAAAAAAAAAAGACAGAAGTTTTGGTACACCCAAACTAGTTTTATAAACCTTCGTTCTATGTAATGTGATTTTCAATTCAATATTGTTGTCTGAGTAGAGCTTAACGATATGGGAATCCTATATGCCTATCACTCAGTAAATGATCTGTTTCAAACATAAAAATCGTCAAATTCACAAAATAGCTCTGTTTATAGTCTGCAGACTGCACTTTCCGTCAGAAGAGTATGACAAAAATAGCGAATTTTTTTAAGTAAAAACCAAAAATTAACTCAGAATTTGTAAATTGGCTACAAAATTAGGGTTCATTTCAGGAATTTTGAAGAATATAAGAAAAAATTGCAGAAATATTTGGGCAAGAAAGCCTGCTGGTGAGAAGGTTGACAGGCTGCACTAATACTACAAGACTTCAGAGGATTATAAGAGACTTTTGTAAAAGAGAAAACTAGAACTCAGAGTCAACTATCAAATGAAAATAATGGACAACAAAAACATGACTGACCTTCTTCTTGATATATACCATCTTTGACAACTTTAAATGTTTTGAAGACAGCGCCCTCTTGGTCTAATGACTTTGAATGTGGTGGCATTGAACCCGGGGTAATTCCACCAATGTCAGCATGATGGCCACGACTAGCGACAAAAAATACTGGTTTGGGTTGAGTTTTATAGAAAACCTGGAATAAATAATGACATAGTATTAACAATGGACTGTTGTCACTTGTGATAGTCGGTTGACAAGAATCACTTGTTTACATCTGCTAAACCAATGAATGCTACATATACATGTTTCACATTTTCCAAACTAAGTGCACTTTGTCATATGTGCATGCTGGTTTATTGAAAAAAAAATCAATTTTAGAAGAAACTTAAGGGGCCTCATACTTTCATTTGAAGTAACACCTAACTACAACAAGCCATGCATGGCACAGTCCCTGTTAGTTATTGAATTTAAGAGATATAAACGATGTGAAATTTCATTTGACACAGTGCAAAATGTGTCAAATCATAGCATTTACGTGAGAAACTATCGTAGACGGCTTCACAAAAACAAATCCATTCCACAAAAACCATACGAATAACATGGTATAAATGCACTTTCTTCATGGAATCCACGAAAATAGTTTGGCTTACATGTAAGTTGCTGTCGGATAGTGTCGAAAAACATGGATGGCTTGCATGTAAGCGACAAGTTAAAACCATTTCACATTGTTCACTGGTAACGTTGAAAAAGCTTGGCTTACATGTAAGCTGCCGATAGGTAATGTCCATAAAGACGTGGTTGGCTTGCATGTAAGTGGCGTGTTAAAACTATTTCACATTGAAAAAGCTTGGCTTACATGTAAAACTATAATAGTTTTGTTTATAGTAATATAGCTGAAATATAACCATGTCAGGAATATGATTTTTTAACATTAAAATGATTGACATTTGTATCTGATTGTCAAACAAGTACTTGTCCATATTGAGATATATTGCTCTGAAACAGCATTCAAAATCAGCCATTTTGAATACATGTATATATATAACATAATGTATAACGAATACAAATGTATATAACATTTGAATATAATCAGTCAAAGCATTTAAGAGATATGGCTCTAGAAGCCCAATCATTAAAACAAAATGGCCGCCAGTCAGCCATTTTGAATCCAATCTAAAAAAAATGTTGTGCATCAGAAACCTGTAATGTCTAATGTATGTACCAAGTTTGAACGAAATCCATCCATAAATGCCAGAAATGCTTGATATTTGATGATTTTTTAGCACAAAAATGACCACCATTCGGCCATTTTAAATAGGGTCGTCAAACCAATATATCTATGACATGATGTATAATGAATATTTAAAATTTGAACATAATCAGTGAAAGCAAGTCAGAGATATGGCATGAGAACCACATTCATTAAAACAAAATGGCCGCCAGTCGGCCATTTTGAATCTTATCTGAAAAACAAAATTTTTTGCATCAAGGTCCCATAATGTCTAATGTATATACAAAGTTTGAACAAAATCCATCTGTAAACAGCCGAGAAATGCTTGATTTTTAGGATTTTTCAGCACAAAAATGGCCGCCATTCGGCCATCTTGAATCAGATCGTAAAACAAAATGATGTGCATCAAGGTCCTATAATGTCTAATGTATATACTAAGTTTGAACAAAATCCATCTATAAACACCCAAGAAATGCTTGATTTTGATGATTTTTAGCACAAAAATGGCCGCCATTCGGCCATCTTGAATCAGATCCTGAAACAAATTGACGTGCATATGTATAATATCATATATGATGTATGTGTGAAGTTTGATTGTGATTGGTCCAGGCATTTCTGAAATACAGGTCTGGATGCACGCACAGACGCACGCCAGCACGAACACACGGAGGTCAAAACATAAGTCCCCGTTTTCAGACTGCGTCCGAATGGGGACTAATAACAATTTAACACTGTCTAATTACCATACAAGGCATATTAAGCATTATTTTACCAATGAAAATACAGCCCTTAATTTGTGCCATGTCCGAAAAGTATTACCTGAGGGTATGTCAAGAAAAACAGAGCACAACTATAATTGTATTGAATAAAAACTTACTGGAGTAATGACTGTAAAATCTGGAAGATGGCTACCACCAGCACTTGGATGATTGCTTAAAATAACATCACCTTCATGGAGGTCATCTCCTAACACTGACATCTGTGCTTAAGAAAATACAAGGTTTTGGGAATTATATTTCACATAACAAATATAACCTAATTTTAATTAGTCCCTTCCTTTAAACTTTCAGCTGTTTTGTACTCCAATGACAAAAGTGACTTACAGGTACAGAAAAAAATATTTCAGTATTCTGCCCTCTGTGGTGAGCAATTCACATTAAACCAATGAAATCAACCATCAAAATAAAGCTATAGAATGAAAAGAAAATTGCTGGTATCTGCATTCAATATGTCAGCCTAAACACAAAAGTGACAGGTCTATTTATTATTACAAATGTAATGTACAGTAAAACATCGCTTGTGGATGCCTTTTTTTTCTTTCACTTCAGCTATATATCAATGGAGACTTTCATCAGGAAAGGTTTTAATAAGACAAAGTCAGTAACTTAGTTTGGTTGCACTAAATTAGTGAAAAATAATAAATATCGTAGCACAGACCATAAATATTGTATAATAGCAGCAGACAGACAGATTTAGTACTTTTATAAATTAAGTAACATAGCACTTCACGTTAGACATAATTATTCGAGACAAGATCAAATCAACAAGGAAATGTACCAAATTATATTTCAAATATCAACTTGATCAGATGTTGTATAGTCACAGACCCTTGATCTGCACTGGTGGAGACCTACTTGATATTGTACTGCTTCTTGCATTGCACCAAGGTGTACTGGAATATGAGGAGCGTTAGCAACCAGACCACCATCAGGACCAAACATGGCACAGGAGAAATCTAAGCGTTCCTGTAATGAACAAAAATATACTACACTGATGATGTACATTTATATTTTGTTTTTGAGATTGTAAACTGAATGATGGCTTAGTAGAACTTGGTCACATGGACTTCCCAACAAAATTCTCAGGAATCAGAATGATATACACACCTACCCATGGTCACTAGGCATGCTGTGACTGGATGTGTCATGATTGTAACACACCTTACAAGTTACTGAATGTATCAGAATATATCATCACATGCACCAGGAACTTATGTTAAACGATTTAAACCTGCAATTGGTCTATTTGCATAAGGAAAATGATGAATGAATTGTTTGCCTTAATTATTAATTAAACCATAGACCCTACGTGATTAAAACCATGTTTAAAACAAATCTGAGAATAGTGAATAGCATACATGAAGGACACTAAAGGATACATTTATATATCATACTTAAAAATCTCACCTTAATATTTGTAGAGATAGCAGTACGTTGTAACACTCTACCCATCTGCTCAGCTGTAGACATAAATCGATGTGAAAATATAGACAGTTGGATAGCATCTAACTCAGTATCAATCGTCTTTTTGTTACTAGTACCAATCTGTAAGAAATATTTTAATAATAATAAAAGTTTATTGTGATGATGCTAGAATGTATGAGGACACAGTGTGGTATAGTACAAATAGTGGAATTTGATGTGACCACATACTGCCTAGTGCCTACTTTGCAGTATCCTTGAGTTGACCTCCTTATATCACATCTTTGTGGTTCAAGTGCTTAACACAGGATGCCAAGAACTGGGCAAAATAGTGAAAATTTCTTGCTATGAACTTCAAGAAATACTTCATAATCATTCTATATTTGAAATTCATATTTCCTAATATGGTAGGATGCCGATACTCAATGAAATACTGCAAAATGAGTGCAAACTGTAACTTACAATGACAGATCTATAATAATAAAAAATAATAATTCTAAAAATGAATGCATTATCATGCTAATATGGACCAAGTTCAAAATAGTTGATAAATACCTGATTATATGAAAAACTGTGTTACGTACAGAAAAACTTTTAAACAGTTTCATCTACCTTTAAGGTAGCAAGACTATTATTTGTGTTGATTTTCACATTTATTTAGTAATTGATGAAATGTACTATAAACTTTCATATGATAAAGTCAACATAACATAGAATGTCATGTAAGTTGGTTAAAATGTAGATTTTCTGAAGGTAAGCAAGGCAGCTTCAGTAGTGTTTTCCAAAATCAACAACACAGGTTTAATCTGTGTGCCTATAAGTTTCAAACATAAACTCAAGACAAAGCAATGAGTGTTTCCAAACATTTGAGTGGTTTGTCTCAGCCCCTGTTTATTTCACAGATTAGTCATTTGCATATGAATGTGTCAGACACAAGGTCACACAGCTGCTGAAAAACATTGATTTTGGTGTTTTCATCTGCCGATTTTATCGAATTACAGCTATCCCATTCCTTTATTTGTTTTGTTTCCAATAGCCTTACACATTTGGATGCCCCTACACATGTTAAAACAGACCTTGATGGGAAAACAAATCGATTGTGCCGATAAACAAGCTTGAAAATCTTTGCTGTGACTTCATGGACGTTTTCTAGGAGTTTATGTTTTTCAAAATATAAGATCTTTAACAAAAAATAACAAATACTTATTGTCGTCGGATTAACACCAAATTTTCCCAGCTTTAAGGTGACAATGAGAGGAACTTGAACGTGTCCAGGCAAACTATTTCGTGGATTATTTACCAATGTGTTGTGGTTTGAGTTGGGGGCAATGCGACTAAAACGGAAATTAAAATTCAGCACACTACTTTTTAAAACGCATTGCTTGAATAAAATTGACAAGACACATTCAATTTACCAGACTATTGAACAACTAGGAAAAGGTGAACAAATATCTTCTTATCACCAGCATAAATGCGTAATTATTTTTTTTACAGAAAAAGTAATTTTTTACCTTTGAATGAGTAACACATCGTAGAATGGAGATACAGGCATGAAAAACACACTTTTGAAAAGCTTGAAGTCTGGCGATTCTTGTAGACATTTAGTCACAAATAGAAGATGAAAACAAGTATGCAAATAATAGTCCCGCTACCTTACATTCCTTTAAATTTAAATTCAAAATATTATAATATTAATAAACGTTTAGGAGAAAATTTCCTACCTGTATCCTCACATCACCATGCGCAGTGATTGTTGCTAGGCAATTTGGTTCCACTAATATTGTACTGTTTGTCTCAATCAAGATTGCTGGTCCTGATATCTCATGACCTGATGTCAACTCGTTCAACTTGTAAATATTGGTGTCTAAGAATCCAACTTCTTCAAAAAAACATTTGACAACCTTGAAATAAATAATTATTTAATTATATATATCACCAATCATCTTAAAATCTGAAAAGACATGTTTAAAAGTCGAACAGACATGATCAAATATTGAAAATGATGCTGGGATTCTTCAGCTTAGAATTTGTTAATATTACACACAGTATGGTATTAATATATATCTTTGCGTGTGTGAATATTACACACAGTATGGTATATTAATATATCTTTCTTTGTGTGTGTGAATATTACACACAGTATGGTATTAATATATATCTTTGTGTGTGTGAATATTACACACAGTATGGTATATTAATATATATCTTTCTTTGTGTGTGTGAATATTACACACAGTATGGTATATTAATATATATCTTTCTTTGTGTGTGCAAATATTACACACAGTATGGTATATTAATATATATCTTTGTGTGTGTGAATATTACACACAGTATGGCATATTAATATATATCTTTCTTTGTGTGTGTGAATATTACACACAGTATGGTATATTAATATATATCTTTCTTTGTGTGTGTGAATATTACACACAGTATGGTATATAAATATATATCTTTCTTTGTGTGTGTGAATATTACACACAGTATGGTATATTTAAGCAATAACCCCCGCTGAAGGCGGGTATACCACGAGATATTGCACAATTCACGACATATATGCACGAGCCGCAGGCGAGTGCATATATGGAGTGAATTGTGCAATATCAAGTGGTATACCCAACTTCGGCGGGGGTTATTGCTATTATATTATACCAGTATATTGACAATTCGATAAAACTAGTAAAAAAAGAGTTTACTTTCATCTA